GAGAAGACCAAGTTAATAAAAGTAGAAAAGAAAAAGGGACATTACAGCAGATATCAATAAAATTCACAAAACTGTAGGAATATATTTACAGAGTTCTAGTCCATAAAGCTGGAAAATTTAAAGGAAATGGACAAATTCTGAGATGCACAAAATACGGCAAAATTAAAGCAAAATGAATAAATAATTTGAACAGATCCATAACCAGCACGGAGACTGAACTGGTAATAAAAAGCCTCCAAGGAAAAATAATTCACATATATTTACACATGCGTGAGGTCGTGCCATATACACTGTGGGAACATTATCAAAGTTTAAAGTGCATACAGTGATTATGAACATTGGTAGAACATTATAGAATGGGATCAAATCGAATTAACCAGCATTTCAGTCTTGCAGGTAACTATTTGAGGTAAGAATTTTGAATGTTTCCTACTTCACAGTTTGCACCTTCCTGATGGTCAGTGTGCAGGATGTGTCACTAACTGCTGATCCTCTGGTGTAGAAAGAACTTCACACTCCTCCACCACCATCTACTTCTCTTTCCACAGCCGTGTATTCAGTCTCTAAACCATCAGATTCCTGAGAACGTAAATATAAGGGTGATGCATCTCCTGTGTTCAGGTTTCTGGGTAATTTCACTAAACATACTGTCTTCTCATTCTGTCCATGTGCTTGTGAATTTAAAAAATTACTTCTTTTTAATGTCTATTTTTCAGTGTTTACACATGCTGAATTTTTCCTATTTATCCATTGGGCATTAATGGTAAATAATGCTGAAATTATCACGGAAGGGAAAATCTCCCCTAACTACAAATTTCATTTCAGTTGAATATGCACTGAGAAGGGAAAATGGGACCTGGAGAGATGGCTCGGCAGTTAAGAGAACAGTCTACTCTTGCAAGAGTTGGGCTCGGTTCCCAGCACCCACATAGCAACTAACAACCATCTGTAAGGCCAGCTCCAAGGGAATGTGATGCCCCTTTCTGCCCCCTAAGGTATTGCATAACACAGGTGCACTCACAGGAAAGCAGACAATACACTCACATACATAAAACTAAAATAATAAATAATTATAATAAATAAAATATTTTTAAAGAATGGTGTGACGGTATCACATGATTCTTTGGATCATAGATCTCTGAGGGACCTATGATCTATTTTCCACACAGCTGCATTAACTTATGTTCCCATCAGTGTGGTGCAGGGCGCCCTTTGCTCCTCATCCTCAGAGATTGGATTCTACCCCTCCCTTTGGTAAAGAGGGACGTTCCGCCAGGTGTGAGGTGATGTCTCATTTTCCTCTCATTTTCACTTCTCTTGTGATGGGAGATGATGACAGCTGTGCACTGGTGTCACTGATTCTTAGATTTTTCCTCATAAATGTTATGCTCTTTCACCTGCTTTAAATCAAGTAATTAGCATTCTTATTACTCAGTGGTTTATAGGCCTTCATACTTTAGGAATTAGAATATTGTCATAAGAAATAGAAATTTTGGAGCCTGAGTATTATTATAACATAACAAAATCCCCAAGAACTTTGTAAATACAGTTTCCATAATAATTTTAACTATAACATTACTAGGCTGGTGAGATGAATCATCTGGTAAGGTGCTTGCCACCAAGTTTAAGGACTTGAGTTTGATCCCCAGAATGCACATGATCAAGAATTGACTGTCATGTTATCCAGGGTAAGGATCAGCCTGTATGGCTGCAGGTGACACAGGATGAGCTCAGCAACCTGCAGGTTACACATATTGTCTCTCATTCTATGACTGCCATCAGTACCCTGAGAGCTCTGACATCTACTCTGAGAACTGTCTTCTTTAAGGAGTCCAGCCCCATCCTGCTATGCAGCAGGAGGACATGCAAATACAGCCTCCCTCTGCTCATGAAAACCAGCCCAGCCCTGACCCTGCAGCTCAGCAGAGGAGCCCAGCCCCGCACTCCCTGTGTTCCCATTCAGCAACCAGCCTGAACACAGACTCACCATGGGGTTGGGGCTGAGCTGGGTTTTCCTTGCTGTGCTCTTACAAGGTAATGTATGGAGAAGAAGAGATGTTTAGTGTGTGAGAGGACAAGAGAAAAAGGACAGTGGACATGTGTGACAGCTTCCTGACCAGGATTCTCTGTGATTGCAGGTGTCCAGTGTGAGGAGAAGCTGGTGGAGTCTGGAGGAGGCTTGGTGCAGCCTGGAGGGTCCCTAAAACTCTCGTGTGTGGCTTCCGGATTATCCTTCAGTGGTTACTACATGAGCTGGGTTCGCCAGGCCCCAGGGAAGGGGCTGGAGTGGATCGCAAGGATAAGTAGTGGTGGTAGTAGCAAATACACAGACTCTGTGACGGGCCGATTCACCATCTCCAGAGACAATGCAAAGAACACCCTGTACCTGCAAATGAACAGTCTGAGAACTGAGGACGCGGCCACCTATTACTGTGCAAGAGACACAGTGAGTGAATGCTATTTGGTGCTCAGACACAAACCTCCATGCGGAATGCTCACGACCAGCAGGGGGCGGGGAACACACAATTAGCTCAACTTCACCCCAGAAAAAGGGCACTGGGGCAGGAAGGACTTGACTCCACAGGGTGTCAGCCACCTGTCCATATTATGGAACATTTTTCTCAGGAACGATGTTTATAATTAGGGTATGTGATACCTTTTGAAGATTCTGAATAACAAAAAGTTTTGGCTTCTGTTGTGATATATTTAATTACAGGACAAATTACAGTCTCACACAAGGGCAGAAATGACTCTCCCATGGGCATCAGGGTCAGATCTGAGGACTCAGAGACCCTGGAGAGTGTGACCCCCAGGATCTTAGGTTAGAGGTGCAATCGCAACGCAGGTTGGAAAGAACAGTGGGCCAGGCAGGATCAGTGACCCATGAACCCTTAAGACCTCCAGTCTGTCTTCACACAGGGAAGAGCAGGGTGATGGGGAGGTGCAGCATTTCCCCATTGAAGGGGGGCTCACAAGACTCCACCCTGCTGAGATTATTGACAGTAAACTCGGCTGAGGGGAGGGTATGACTTCCCTCGGTGGTGCAGTCACTCCTAAGTTACCAGAACTACAGGAGATAACCACTTTGCCTTGCGCATAAGCAGTGCTAAGTAACTGAGTAGGACAGACATGAAACAGGAGGGACAGTGTTGGGAGGAAGAAGGATTTCAGTTATGGAGGGAAGGGAGATGAGAGAGGACAAAGGGGTGGGGATTTATTATGTGCATGTGTGATAAACATATATGTATACAATAAATAATAAAATAATCATATTTAATAAATGATCTTACATCACAGATATGTGCTCATCCATCGTGACTGCTGTTCCATTCGCAATAGTCTGGATGTAGAAACAACTCAGATGCACATCAGTGGATGAGTGGATAAAGACAGTATGGCACATTTACAGAGCAGGGTATTGTTCAGCTGTCAATAAAACTGGAATCAGGAAATTTGTCAGTGATTAGATGGAGCAATCACCGTGAGGGAGCCCAGCCCCAGAGAGAAAAGGTCCAAAGTTTTCGATCATTTGTGCATGTTATCTTTGAATATTTAGATACGTGGATTTCATTTGAAGTAGCCACAGACTTCAGGAAATTAATCAGGAAAGCTGTGGCAGGGGCCAGAGCTGGAGGAGAGGGAATTATGGTTTCCAAAGAGTTAATGCGATGGGGATGGGAAAACAGCTTAGAGAAGGACATACAAGAGGGTCAAAGAACATTTCACACCTGTTAACAAATCATACAGAACCCACTACTGCCAAGGCCTCCTAAATATATACATATGCAGAGAGAGAGAGGAGAGAGAGAGAGAGAGAGAGAGAGAGAGAGAGAGAGAGAGATTTACACTATAATGGGGTGACAATGCTCCTACTAGATATCACAGTCTAAAAATGAAAAGTCCAGTGCCAGGAATGAGCATCCTCTTTTGGAGTTTTAGTCCCTGAGTTCTCATAAACACCCAAATATTAAAGACTAGTGCCATCGCTCTTGGTGACCCTCCATAACTTGACTGTCAGCCCTATCGCTGAAGACACTACATACTTGAATCCTAGAACATGGAGAAATCTAGTACCAACCTGACAACTTCATCCATACTGACTAGCTTTTACACCGATGAAAGATGCTATACAGGATACAAGAACAGAAAAGTGATCATCAATAATATTACCCAGTTGTGAACCTTGCCTGCTACAACAATGATCTGTCTTTGCAAACTTTGTCACTGTTGCAAACAATGCTGTCACAAATGTCATTGGAGTAACCAACCACTTTCTGACTGGATTGAAGGCCCACTCCACAAAGGGGAACCTATACCTGACACCATTATTGAGGCAAATAGTCTGTGTCTAGAATGAAGTTGGAGGTTTCAGAAGGTGCACGGGGTGAAGGTGTGTGATGGATTGTGCTAATTATCCACTCTACGGTATCTGGAACCATCTAGGAGACAAGTCTCTAGGCACAGCCTTTGTTCATGCCTGTGAGAGATTATGTTCATTAGGTTTATGGAGATATGAGACCCCTACACCCCAGCCCCCAGGAGTGTTCAGATATCTCTCTCCCTAAGCTTGGCCTCTAGACAGCATAACATGAAGACTGATTCAATACCAGCACTCCTCGCTTTCTGGTTCCTGGTTGTGGTTGTAATGTGACCAACTGCTTTAAGCCCCTGCAATGGGGACAGCTTGAGAGGTCTTAAGTCTTTCCCGATATCCAGGTTCAACTTCTGCTTCCTGTGGCTGCAGGAAATGTGAGCACTTTCTGCTGTGGCTGTCATCATGATGGATTGTACTCTTGAATAGTGAGGCAAAATACAGCCTTTGGGTTTAGGTGTTTTTATTATGGTACATCAGCACATTAACTAGACATATATTAATGCAAGCGTAATCTGAGCGTGTGGGTGATTCTAGGAGCTCAGTGGTATCTGCTCACCTTTACTAACTGACTGCACTTGGCATAGGGACAAGGCTCTAAGAGCACCTACAATCGCAACACCCTCCCCCATGTCCCTTCTCCAGCTGCAGTTTAAGGACTACACAATCAGAGTCCTCAAGAGAGCAATGGGGACCATGGAAATCACTCTCCGGCAGGTGCCACCCAGGCAGTAAAGAGCTCATCTGATGGCCTTGGTCCTCAGGGAAGACACCAGTGTTCTAACAAGGGAACAGGGCTCCTATGGAACATGGAAAAATGTCCCTGCAATAGGCACCATTAGGAACAATAAGAAGTGTAATTGGTCCTTGCAACTGAATGCGGCAAGCAGCAGTGAGTGCCAGGGCATTTTAGCAGAGGGAACAGGGCCATGGGAACGTCATGCTGAAGTTCTCACAGGTGCCTCTCTTCGCAGAGATGGAGAAGTCAGTCTCAAGACTATGAAGGCAGAACAGACCCGCCCCTCACCTTACTGGATGGATTCTCTACGACAAGCACTGCTTCTTACATCAAGATCACCAGCTCTCAAGGATAGAAACTGGTTGAGACTGGAGGATTTCCTGTGTCACTAAACACAACCAACCAACCAACCATGCAAAGCACAGCTACATTTCAGGTCACACACCCAACACCCAGTTCCCCATGGAGCTGAGCTCTATGATGGCTGTTTTCAGATCCCTGCATTACTGTGAGATATGCAGGGATTCGTCAGTATGAGCCTAAACACTGCGTACCGACCAAGTCTTGTCTCCAAAGTATGTTCTGTTTTCAGCAGTAGGGTCTTCCTTCAAGTTCTGGGAGGTAATCAAGGACTGCGACAATACCTGTGTTACAGAGTTGCACAACTGATCACACATAGAGACTGTATGTCTGAGAGATTCCCAGGCCTAGGTGACACATCTATGGTAGAACCTATACACCTGAGGCTCATGGAACAGAGTGTAACATTGAACAGAGTATGAATACATCCCAAAACTCTAAACAGTGACGCTTGTCAGGTCCCATAGAATGTCTTAATTCATAAGGATGCTCTCGTGATGATCATGCCATGCCACAGACCCAACCAAGAGTTTAATCCCAGCACTTGGGAAACAGAAGCAGGTGGATCTCTGTGAGATCAAGGTCAGCCTGGTCTACACAGTGAGTTCCTGGCCAGCTGGGCTATGAAGACCTTCTATAGAAAAAGAAAAAATAAAGGTTATTAAAAGATGCAAGAGATATGGTGTTGGCTGGAGAGATTGCTCAGTGGTTAAGGGCACGTATTGTTCTTGCAGAAGACCTGGGTTCAAATACCAGCACCCACATGGTGGCTAACAACCATCCATACCTTCAGTTCTAAGGAATCTGACATCGTCTTCTGTCCTCTGTGGGCACTACATGACACAAGTGCACTCACACACATGCAGGCATAACACTCATAAAACAAAAATAAATTAATAAGTTTAAAAACATTTTAAAGCTGCAAGAGAGAAAGATGTAGTCACTTATAAAGACAGGCCTATCAGAGTAACCAATAGTTACTCAGTAGAATCTTTTAAAGCCAGGGGACTCGGAAAGATGTATTCTAATTTCTTATAGATAACAACTATGAATCCAGACTATAGTAAGTGGGAAATCTATTAAGGTTGAAGCAGAAGCTCAAGCAAGACAAAATCCCAGCACAGACCGGGGAAGAACCCAATTCTAGCTGAGAAACTACTGGAAACCGATGGCTTCTGGGAAGGGGAGTCAATTTCTGTTAAGCTTGTGAATCGATAAGTAAACCAGGTCCAGTGGATGAAAACACAGAATGGCATTTGGGGACACAAATTGGCCTCTCTCTCTCTCTACACACACACACACACACACACACACACACACAGAGCACATGAGATGGGGGGGGGGG